TGCACTCTTAAAAGGCTGAAGACACCACTGGTACCGAGAACAGTCGGCTTGAAATATTGCACACTTCAATCCACTTTGTAGAATAAGCAAATAAATCTGCTTGTTTTTTTTTTTAAGTTTTCTTTTATTCTGCAGCAAACTAAAAGCATACAAGAGCAAAGTATTGTTTCTTTTCAATGTAAGAGGCCATTTCTTTACCTTCTGTATTATATTTCAATTTAATAAGAACATCTAACCCTTTAGACTGATTACTCATGTCTGCTAGTTTTACATTACATCTATTTTTACGTCCATTAACTGGTATGGATTCATTCTAAACACCAAGCAAGCCTCTGTGACTGAACAAAAAGTGCTTGCTGTCCATTATTTTGGTGACCATACTTTGTGCAAATTACGTTGAGCTTAACAGTCTATTTGTTTTGTCCCCCCCAAAAGAAATAGAAACACTTTTCCTGTAATGGATTTCACTGAAGCGTTCGGACACAATAAAGAGAACAGCTCGTTACATTTCTTGTAGCCGGTAACATCTGAATGAACTTTATTTTTATTTTTTTTGCAAATGCAACAAGAACAAAAAGACAGTTGTTATTTCTAAAGACAGCAGCCACACATTTGTTATAATAGAGAAAATAGGAGCCCATATATCTTTAATGTTTCAGAAGAGACTAAAAAGGTCAGATTTCCCCCTGGACGTAATAATGCAGAAAGAGACCTGTGCTAAGCTGGGAAAAATGCCCTAAAACCAGTTTCCAGCATCCGTGAGAACCAACAGTGCAGAGACTGTGTAGTTCACCCATTTCCTGTACCTGTGGTCCAAACATACATACAAACCACCGTGTTCTTTGAAGAAAAGAAGAAGGAAAAAAGACATAACCCAGCTGAAAGAGGAAAAATAAGCAAAGCAGGTAATATTTCCAAGAGACGATGCGGAAGGGGGGGAAGCAGGAAACGTTTTCCAACACCAGAATAGTACAGGCTTGAGAGATGAATCACAATAAAAACCATGTTAATAATCTCATTGATCATCCTCACTGGTGACACCAATAGAGTAACGCATCTCCTAACACTCAGCCCTGAGAAAAATCTGCCCTCATGGCACCGACCAGTCAAAATTTTGTTATTTTTTTGCAGTTATCCCGAGCAGACTGATCCTGGATCTGCACTTGAAGGCATCAAAAACCATCCATCTTGAAACGTTCTCAGAGATCACGCGAGACATCTTTTTAATACAACTAAAAAGGTAGAGGGATTGTGATACTAAGTGCTACATATCAGAGGCTATAGTAGCTCAGTAAGTGGAGGGAATTAAACGAAGGAGTCTGTAGACAGAATGTAACGGGGCACAAATATGGCTTCAGGACGACTCCTCCTCTGCTCGGGCGATGGAGATGGCTGAATAAAACCTTCATGTCGTTACTGTTAACCTGTACAACTGATTAGAAAATTAGCATTTTTTTTTTAAAATCTCGCCACGTATTTAAGGAGGCTGTACACCACAAACAACATCTGGTTTTCACAGGCACAGCGGCGTGTGTGCAACCACAACAAAATGGACAGAGCACAATGCTACAATGTGTATTTAGTTGAACGTCTGCACAGCTTTACTTCCCCCCCAAAAGTGCATTTCCTGTATTCTGCATACAAAAGGTTATGTTTTCCACACATTCTTTGAGGTTATTAAGACCAACGAATTGAAAGAAACAAAAAAATAATCAGGTTTTGGTGCTGCAGGCCGAAGAATTTATGTGCCTATGAAAGCAAGCGGGGGGGCGTCAGGTTTTTGAGCATCCATCCCTGTTCACCATAGACCGTCATTCTGCCAAATAGTGTGCCTGCTACGACGGCAACGCAGGTTTCTACTATACTGCTGTTTTTAGCACGTATAGTTGCTTCTTCCTCCTGCTTGAAGGAATGAATTCTCAACGTGAAATGTACCAAGTTGTACACTGACTACAGTCATACGGCTTCCACCTTCACTCCTTGAAAGCCAGAGAACTGCTGTTGTACAGTTTTACATCACTCGTCATATGAAACTGTACCACAGCAGCAACACAGTGAAAACAGTTTGCAAGCCACAGCTCCTAGCATGATATTATTAAAAGGAAAAACATCACACACTGAACAAGAATGGAATGATGAGAAACAAATGTCCTGTATAACTTAACACATAATACAACACCCAATGGACTGCTTTGGTGTTTTGACAGAGGTAATAAAGAAAAATATACTTTAAGTGGACCGAAGTCCGAAGAGGAATAGCAGACCGGCCGCTGTTGTACAAAGGACAACTTGAAAACTGGACAAAATACCTTCGAATGTCAATATTACAATATTGTGTGTTTACATGCATTTAGGAAATCTGATTATTGTCAACATTTAGCAGTAACCTGATGTCAGAAACATCACGTAAACATTTTCCTTACCCAGTGTAAGGGATAGAAACTTCTGCTACAGAAACCAGTTTTCTTGATGTATACGCATAACTGAGATTCTAACAGGGTTTTATACACGAGCAAAAGGTTCAAGACCAGAATTTAGTAGGTAAAGTATTGCTGTTTTTAATACTCATGCACCCTTGTAGCTGAAATCCAAAAGGTCACCTAAACCCGACCCTCAAACAAGTCTCATTAGGTCATTTTCTGAGCAGATTTGTGGATTTCTTAACATATACACTCTTGAAAGACTGACTTCTTCACTTAGGCTAAATGTTCTGACTGGAAAATAGGGAAGCAAAACAAAAAAGAAACAACTCAGGTTGCACTGCTTCAAATATATTGCTAATACACTTAGAGTATGCCATTCAGTTTTAATTTTATAGTAGGAGGTAGGGGAGAAATCGGACTACCGATTCACCAGCAACCACGTTAATGCAGCGCATGTAGATGCATTCTGCTTCCCTGCCATTACCTGATGTCACCCAGGAACAGTTTGTGTGAATGTAAACGTAGAAAACAATTTAGAGTAATTTCATAATCAATGTGTGACACTGTTTGAGTGCACAAACCTTTAAAATTCCCCATTTAGTTGCAAATAGACCAACCACCCCCAAAATTTAGTTTCTACAACTACCCTTCTACCATTTGCCCACCTAAAAACCAAACACAGCTCAATGAAAACACTTATGTAATCTGTTCTTGCGCACACATTTGTCCCATAACTACTATTTTGAATTGTCTACATCATAAAAGTCCTAAAATACTTTCTCGTTTCCACAATTTCATGCCAAAAAGTCAATATCTGTAGCATTCTGATAACAAAGAAATGTGTTTTTGAACAAAGTTTAAATTGTTCAAATTGTTTCAACTAAACAAAAAAATTCTCAGAAGACCATAATAGTAAAAGGTGTTCAGTGTTTTGTTCTTTTAAAATCATTTTCTATACATTTGTCAGCTCGTAAAGGCCTCAAGTGAAAGGAAAGTTTCGTAGCATAGAAGAGAAAATGGCCCCACCCAACCGCCTCTGTCCAGGCCTGTTCAGCATCGTATCAGCAGAGTTTCCTGCTAGAAAAAGGCCCATCTTGAGACCTGGCTATATGCAGTAGAAAGCTTGCCATTAGATCTGCAGCGTAAGTGCAGAATAAATAAAATGTTGCTGTTCACGTAAAATTCATACCTGCTAAGGCATGTGTATAGAAGTCAATTATCAACTGTGTGCATGTAGATGTGTTAACTGTCGAAGGCGGAAAGGCATATTCCGGCTGTTAATGAAGTTATGTCTTTGGGTTCTCTGAACTGTGTACCAAGTGAAGCCGGAGCTTCATTGAGGTGCAACGTGAAGATGAAATCATTTTAGGGGAAAATGTATGTCAGGTAATGCGTCTTTAAACAACACTACAGCCGCTGTAAACGACGCTTACATGTTTACAGCCAACTGAAAAACTCTGTATTTTTTTTGTTTTTTTAAAGGATGATTTTAAAAGCAATGCAAAGAGGAAAAGAAGTAAATCACCCATACTCGAACAGGAATGTTATGAATTGCTAAAATAATGCTGGGAACTCCTGGAGTTATATCAGTACCCATTGCAAAGTTATGCTGCGATCGCTACAGGTGGATAACTTCATTGACTGAAGAGAATGCCAGTCAAGCCTGAGCCTGAGGTACAGTTGAAGCTGACCCAAGTCCAGTTTCCGGATTTCGGCTGACAGCAGAGAACTGGTGGAGATGTGGGGTGAAGGCCAGTAGCTTTGGTGAGGCTTCAAAACCATAATGGAGGATAGAAGGGAGAGGTCTCCAGCGTCGGTGTGGACTTAAGAAGTCATGTTTTTAATGCCAACCACATGCTCATCGTCTATAGCTTTCATAACAGAGACCTGAAAAGACGATAGAGAAAATGAGATCTGGGTCCAATTGATTGTTTTTTTTTTTGGTGCAGATTAACAGTCCCTTTATATTAATTCCACTAGCCAAACTGCTAAGTTAGCCTAACATGACTTGCTAACATGTTTTAATCAGTAAATGCTCTACTACAGTTTAGTTAAGTGGATCCATTTAACAGGACTACAAATGTTCTGGTGTTCCAGTGAAAGTGAAGGATGTTGCCAAGAGAATACGTCAACAAGTGTAAGAGAATAGCATAACAGAACATTTTAAATAACATACAATTAGGTCAAATTAAAACAGTTACTCTCTTTCGGTATCTACCAAAAAGAGAGATTTTTTTCCCCCCCATCCTCAGGACAAAGAAACTAAACTCACCATAAAGGTTTCTCCACCATTGACCCTCTTCTCGATATCTTTGCCCAGGTCACCTTCTGGCACTTTAAGGTCCTCTCTGGTCTCGCCACTATCATCCATCAGAGTCAAGTAACCTTCTGAAAGATCGACTACCTAAACGTGCCATCACGCAGAAAGTAAACACAGTTGAGTTAAAAACATTATGACAGCAAATGCATTTCAAAAAGCAGGAAAAAAAAAGACTAACCACCACCAGCCAAATGAATTCTAGCTGGGATGCCACTCCAAAGCATCAAATGGTCCAATACTTCACCTGAATGAAGCTAAACTAACTCTCATAGACTGTATAAAAGATGGACGTAGCTACCATGACGTCACCCGTTGGTTTCTGCACTGAGAAAATGAAGCCAGGGTTTTGCTACTTCCTGGTTGACATCTTGGATTTTTGGAGCCAGTGACGCAAAAATCGTCGGAGGGGGGCGGGGCCATAGGAGCAGCGATTGGTCAGATGGATTGAGAGGCGGGCCCTCTCTGCCCGCCCACATTTACCGCCTTCTGCTCGCTTCGTCTGTATGGTCGCTGCCAACTGTCAGTAAAGCCAGCCACGCCCCTTGCCCCGCAAAATGTTGACGGTTTTTTAAAAATTCAGTATTGATTTATTTTCAGATTGGCCACCTGATCTCTGGACTTGACCATGAAAACTAATAAGAAAAAAATCCTGAGCTGGAGGAATGCAGTATTTCATGATCTGTGATCACTTCTTTTCCAATTCATTTCTATGGGAGCCAGGGCTTTTTGGAGCCAGGAATAGTGGATGTAGTGATATTGCAGGTTTTTGACACTTCCGGGTTGGCTTCATTTTTCAGGGCCGGTTGCTACGTCCATCTTTTATACAGTCTATGCTAACTCTTTGATAAGCATTACCTTTGCTAAAGCTTCTTCACCCAAAGAATAAAAATACAGAAAGTGCTGCAGTCACAAGCTTTTGTTGTGAAGTAGCAAAAGCAGAAATAGATCAATTTACATCATCAGCAACTTCATACAAATTTGATCCGCCTGAAAACCACCATTTAACAGTGAAACAAAGCTGTGGCGCTGCAGTGGAAACTTATGTCATTACAGTTTGTCGAGGCACACTGTGGTCAAAGCCTGCCAACTTGGACCACACTATCAGCATACAGTTTGTGCATGTAATGAAAATCGGGCAAAGAAAGTGAAAGAAACACAAAAAAAATAGAAATCACAGCTAACAAAAGTAGCTGAAAGTCAACACCAAGATCACCGAATATCCATGACAGCTTAATTCTAATTAAAAATAATCAAATGAATGGATTTCAACATGCACAAAGACATATTTTGACAGTGTGAACCTAGACCAAAAATCACAAATCAGTGTCTACAAAATTTGCTTTACATAATGCTACACATCTGCAACAGAGTCAGTGCTGATGCTAGCTTGTGAAACATTCTCCCAGTTTGGTCCTGCTGCATACAGGTTCTCACTGTGTCAATGCTACTCTCAGCGTTAGTAAAATACTTGATCTCCACCAATGCTTTTACAAAAAAAAATGACACTGATAAGAAATTTGTCCGTAGAGCAATTGTGTAACACAACCATGGAGGGTGCTGTAGAAGTGCACTGAGGAGGAATGTTTTTTATAAAAGAATCTTTTGTCAGACAGAATACAATATAAAAAAAAAACAACTGAAATCCAGTTTAAATTATCTGATTACAAACCTGCCTTCCCAGGAACATACCAACCACTGTTCCCTTGGATTTTTTTTGACAATTGCAGCCCCAAAAGAGGCCTCTAATTAGGCAAGAGGAGACTGCTTGTTGGCCAAGCAAAAGCCTGCTCAACCAGTAAAAGCAGTATATCCTTTCACAACTACTGAGAGACGACTCAGCTCTGACACGTGCGACAAACTCCTTTAGCAATGGAGAGTGCAGACATTTTCTTTCACACTTTCTCATTGAGATTAGGTAACGTATCCAATCCAAAGCATTGTGAAAGTCATTGCAGTGAAGGTCAAAACAAATCTTAAAAACCAGTACAGAGCGGGACAACCATTAACTGTCGTGCCATGCGTCAGCCAAACTGACAAATACAAAGTACTGATTGCAAATGTTGTACACAAGCTGGATTCCCAATGACAATCTCTCACCTGGTAATCTTTCCTTGTTACGTTAGGAACATCCATGTTATGGGTAGATGGGCAGATATCTTCATACTTCTTCTGAGTAAAGATGTCAAGTCCAGTAAGGTGAACCTAGGAAAACATAAGTGATTAGATCTTGCACTGGACCCACTAAGTATTGGGGGTTACTTGTAAAACTGGGAAAAATAGGACTAAATCACAGAAGTGCCTTAAGCACTGCATTCCAAAGGATGCACGAGGTGGTTTTTACCTTGGCATGTCCATGCTTGCCAGTCTTCGAGGTAGTCATGTCAACTATCTTACAAGGATGTCCCTTCAGCATGACAAAGCCATTTTTCCTCAATGCAGAGCACTGCACAGGGTATGTTGCAGAGGCTCCAGAGTCCCCACTGGTGAAATCGTCATCTGCCATGATGGATTGTGGGCTGCTGCACGTCACACAGATGAGTAAAAGAACAACCGTAAAATGTGATTATTAGGATTTGTACGGTCATAAGAATCAATATGGCAAAAGTATAAAAGTAAATATGGGATATTTATTGCAAGGTAAATGGTTAGCACAGTGTTTTAAACAGTTAAACACAGAAACATGGCAACAACCAAGCAGTTGCTTGACACAGACCAGTGCTGAGCACATCGTGTCCTGGAGAATGTGAGCTCACATGGCACGCTCAATCTAGATAGTGATTGGGCTGTCAGTGCTTGATAATCAATATCCTCAAAATGCAGCATAAAAGGGTCTTCAAATGTTAATAAATAAAGGAGTCAATCAGCCAGAAATATCTAGACTTTTGATTCTGTCTTTGAGTATAGTAATGTAATCGTATACGGGGGGGGATGGTCACTTGTCATGCCACATGGTTTCAAAGTAATTCTTACTTAACAAATACAAGCACTTCTCTCCAAGAAATACGAAAAATAGATCATTTCCCCTTTAAGTCCAGCTCTTTTTAAATATTTCATAAGAAAACCCCAAAAGGATTTTCACATTGTCTCTTTGTGCATCTAACGGAAACATGCTTCAGACAACGACAGTGATGCAAAAATACTTGCAGAAATCAGCATTTTTACTGTTGAAAATGAGCAGACATACATAAATACCAGCTGTGTGTGTTGACTGGTAATATCAGTCGTGATTTGTCTCCAAAAGATTTAATCAATGTTTTAATCGGTGACGGGCCAAAATGTGCAGCATCCTTGTTTTCTGTGAGCTTAAGTCACATAGTTAAGATGTATAATGTGTCTTATATGTGTGGTATGCTGTGCTTTCTAGAATCTGTCCTTCTCTTTTCAAATAATCTTTTTAGAGTTAGTCTCAAAGCATTTTTCTTTTATTTATTTAATTTATATACACGTCTGACTTGATGCACTTTGCTGTTTTGCACACAACTTCTTTGTACATGTGCAATGACAAACAAAAAATTAAAAAAATAGATTCTGTTCTGTTTATTTGCGTTTCCATACAAAGACAGATTAGACATGAGCAAAAGAGAAATCTTGCTGGAACACCTGAGTTATTAAAGGTTTAGAAATGAATTAAAATGAATGAACTGAAAAAAAGGAGCCACATGCATATTTAAAGAGGTAATTTCCTCAAACATAACCTACAAAGGAAGACAGAAGAGTGCACCGTGACTATATTGGTGTTGACTCAGCAGGGATAATATAAAATAAGGAAAGTTTATCTAGAGGGCAGTAAACACTTGAAAGCCATCCAGACAGCCAGAGGGCCTTAACAGCACCGTATGTATTTATTGATACTGTGATCTGTCACCTCGCGCCTGCTTTGCTGTGTTTAAGGTTGGGCTGGAAGTGGCGGAGTTAGCTAAAAGTTAATCGTTCAGCTAAATCCTTTAGCTGCACTTTGGGTCGACGTTAAAATGTATGTCCGCTTTTGCTCACATGCTACGACGATCCCGTGTTCCTCCACTTTCCACATTCGCCTCCAAAACTTGTGTACAAACACTTAAACTAGGCGGTGCCACCATGTCTTGCTGGCCAACTAACCTGACAAGCTAACGGCTAATGCTAACGTGTGGATTTTTTTTTTTTTTTTTTACTCGTACACGGCGTTTGTTCCAGCTCCAATTTCCCCTTTTTTCACCATTTTTTTATTGCGACATATCCAACGTGTTAAACAGCTAGCTTATTAGCCCGCTGGCTTCAGAAAGTAATTTAAACAAAGGCTCAAGTTAGCATGACAGTAGCTAAGCAGCTTAGGTCAGAAAGCTAACAAACCCCATTAACTACGTATGTTACGTGGCAGTTGGGCCAGAAGAGCGTCTGACACGACAGCTTAGAAGAGAAAGCTAGCTTCAGGGTCCCACCTCGTGTGTTTTCTGTCATTGTTAGCTCGCTAGGACGACCAACACCCTGTGACGAGACTGCTGCTAACGCTAGCTGCTAAGTTCTTTCATTCGCTCGCCAAACATCAGCCCAACCACTCCAAAGTTAATGATTAACCAGCGGGGCTACGAACGCCTCCCGCTATTACACATCACGTCAGGCGTCACGCAGCACCGCAAACTAACTCTTTACAGACACCCACGGCCACGATTGTACTTTTTAGGCGTGTACGTTTAGCTTACCTTGTGTCTCGCTTTCACCAAAAAAAAAAAGAGGAGAATCACTTCGCATGCGTGGAGCTTTTGTACCGCATGCGGGGCAGAGAGGGCAGGTACGAGCCCCGGTGACGCGCAGGGGTGGAGGGGGGGGAGACGGTGCAGTGTCAGCGGGAATGGGACGTCCATGTGTTTGTTAGGGAGAGAGGAGAATACAAGCGAATAATAAAAAGAAAACCGTATGGGAAACAAAAGTAGAAAAGGCCAGGAAGACAACGCCTGTTAAGATGACTCTGGTCAGGTGAGCCGTAAGTGGCACGTTGAGGTCGTAAAATAGGGATATTTGAAACCTTGGGGCAGCACACAAAAGCCTTAAAGTAAGTTTTTAGTAAAACAGAAAACTTTCTGGAGCAGTTTCCTAAACCATACCAGTGCCTCAACTCCCAGCTTGATCTAATTAGTACAAGATACAAACAAACAAACAAACTCCAACACAATGTCTCCTGAGACTACATTTTTTACAGCAGCAATGATCAAAATGGGACACCTTATATGTTGATTTGAAAAAAAGAGAGAAATTAAAGTAAAAACGAAAAGTAAAAGGTACTGTCTACATCAAATAACTGCGGATGTCCAACAATATCGGCCCACTGATATTAACAGCCCCATATTGGCGTAAAAGTGTAATATCTGTCAATATGGTTCTGTTTCTATTTTTTATTTTTTGCCTATAATGAAAACCGCTAAAATAATGCCTGGATTTTGCCGGCATTTATCGGCGCAAATGATGACAACAGGAGATATGTGATGTGACCTAAAAATAGTTAAATAGCCCACATATATTGGTATCGGTTGATACTGGAATCGGACATTGAGAGTTGGACAATATCGGCATATTGGGTATTGGCAAAAGAGCCAATATCGGACATCCCTACAAATAACCATACAATAAAATGAAAACAAAACATAACCACTGAAATATGTATGTGAACAATTGAAAAGTTGTTGTTTTTTTATTTTTTGGCATGTCTGTTTAAAAAAAATAAAAATCAAACATCCATCCATTATCTATACACTGTTTAACCCTCACTCGGGTCATGGGGGGCTGGAGTCTATCCCAGCTGAGCTAGGGTGAAGGCAGGGGACACCCTGGACAGGTCACCAGTCTATCACAGACAGACTAACAAACACACTCACATTCACACCGACGGACAGTTTAGAATCACCAATTAACCTCAACATGTTTTTGGACTGTGGGAGGAAGCCGGAGAACCTGGTGAGAACCCACACTGCACGGGGAGAACATGCAAACTTCAGGCGGAAAGATCCCAGGTGTCCTAACCAGGACACAAACCGGGGTTCTACTAGCTGTGAGCTGTGCTAACCACCAAGCCTAAGAAAAAAAACCCTAAATATTAAACAGAGTTTTTCAACTGAGTTTTTTGACAAGACACTCTGTTTGGCAAACACCAAACACTACACATCACCACAAACACATCATCCCAACCATCAAGCATGGAGGTGGCAGCATCATGATGTGGGGATGCTTCTTGGCAGCAGGCCCTCGAAGGCTTGTAAAGGTCAAAGGTAAAATTAATGCAGCAACGTAAAGAAACGTAAACATCCTATTTTTGATGTATTCTTGAATATATTGACTGAGGTCTAATTTATTTGTGTAGGGACTAGTTTTCACATGTCTTCATTATTAACTTGCCTATCCTTGAAGTGGAATGTGCTGACAGTAGCCAACACTTGCCACATTGTTTCAACAATTATTTTTTTTAAATTAGATTTTACTATGAAGAAAGAGAAACAAACATTTTAATTTTCTGTCAGAAACAGAGAGAGCTCATTTTCATTCACAAAGTCCATTTTTTAAATCTATTTCATTCGACAGACAAAACAGATTTTTACAGTTCCGCATTGTCTCTTTGTGCTTTAAATAAGAGACATGTTTAAAACTGATAATGCAAATTATAGTAGCATTTTAGGAGGTTCTCCTTTATACTGTCGGGGATTAGAAAAGATACTATACCCATTTCCTGTGTTTCCAGCTCTGTGGTAGCTCGTGACAGTTTAGCTCAAAGCAAAAATGCAGCATTTAGGGGGAAGGGCTGACACAGCCCACTTATAATTAGTCTTGAATTAGTCCCCAGGCGTTGCTGGGGGCTGTGTAAGAGAGATTGTGTCTGTGGGTAAATAGATCTGTCTGAAAACAGTGCAAATTTCCTTTGGTTTCAGTTAAAACATTCATCTCCACCCAACTGTTCTCTGCACTCCCTGACTGCTTTGCATGGATCCTCCAACAGCCACTGGCCACACAGGAATTCCAACTTATCTGGGTGGATGAAAACACAAGTTTTTGCTGCCTCACGTATCCCCTCCAGGCCAGTAAGATGATGTAATACAAACACCCTGCTTTAAATAACAATTTGTGTCTAATGTGTTATGTTGCATTCACAAAAAGCTCATTAAAATGTTTAAAATCCTACCAGCTCATAATCAGCTGGTAAAAAAAGAATCCAGAATCTATGAATATGAATCAATATGTTGTTTTAACTTCACTTAAAAGTCTTCTGTGTGGCTTCCAAAGTTACAACATCATATTTACATGACCTCAGCCCAGTTTTAATGTAATCACAGCGAAAGGATTCCAGAATCAAGCACATCCTGTACATAGATAAGTCAAACATTCAAGGGAAGTAACAAAAAACAAAACACTTTTTTTTTTTCAGTGGAGATTGATATAAAATGATGGAGTACGTAATATTTCTTAAAGTTGTATTTTATTGCCTCTTCTGTTTAGGATTCTGCAAATATCGATGCTGCTTTACTTCCTTGCTCATTCATTCCACAGTTACAGGTTTTGTTTGTGTTGTGTTTTTTTTAATGCATTTACAGCGACAATTCAGCAATAAACCTGCTATTTTGACCACCGGGGGGCGACAGAAACAACTGTAAAAGCAACTGCGACAAGGAAAAACATGCAAAAATGTACAGTTGGCTTTGTTTTTCCACCTTTTTTTAAGTGGGAGATATATCTGTTTAGCTCTTTAGCTCAAAAAAAATTACAATATACTCATTAGCTAGTTGCTAACTGGCTTCCATTTAGTGCTGAGTAGGTAGTCGACGCTGAGGTTTTACAGTTTATATATAGAAAACGTTTGTATGCTGCGGCAAGAAGTGTCATTATGAGAGGTGAACTGAAACACAGACAGGTTATCAAGTTCAGGAGAGCTTAGTGGAAAGAGTGGGATCATAATTCTCTGCAGGGTCAACAATATACACAGAAATAATGTGGAATTTGTTTATTATAGCCTCTTATGACAACCAAACCACAATACTGCAATAAAAGTTGATATTTTTATTAAATGTAAACATCACTCCATATTAATATTATCCATATTAACGAAAACACGATATTTCAGGTCACTGCTGTGTTGGTTTTTGCGTGTATTTACATTGTGAATAAAATGCCGTCCTTTCCTGTGTAAAAAAAACTTTACTTTGCCTTAAACTCCCCGTGTAAGCGGATAAACGTGCATGCACACATTTGAAATACTGACCGATACATCCTTGCAATATTGCACAAAGAGACTACACAAGAAAATAGCTGCTTTTTTAAGCATCTGACGATGTTTTGAGCTGCTGCAGTTCAGTATTGCCTTTGTCGGTCCGACGTCCCTTTTGGAAGACAATCGCGATCTCCTCAAAACTTTTGCCCTTGGTCTCGGGGACACGAAAGTAGGTAAACACCGTGAAGCCGAGAAGCAGCACAGCAAACAGGATGAACACGTAGCAACCCATCCACTCCTGATGAGAGGAGTGATGTTAGTGAAGCCAGAGCATGCGAACCCACATAGGTGCATGATGTATACGTGTTTACAGTACATACATGTTCCCTTTCTCCTCACCTGTATATAGGGAAAGGTCATGCCAATGATGAAGTTGCTGGTCCAGTTACAGCAGCCGGCGAGGGCGATGGCTGCAGGCCGAGGACCCTGGCTGAACAGTTCAGCCACTATGAACCATGGGATGGGTCCAGGGCCAATCTCAAAGAAACTCACAAAGAGGAAGATGCCTGCCATGCTGACGTAGCTCATCCATGAGTAGTCATTCTGGAGGAAGAAATACGTCAGTCAAGAGAAGCTGTTTTTGTCTCAGGGTGGTTTCACGCTTATTAAACTTAACAAAAGCTGTTGGAACAATGAGCTCAAAACACGTTTCATTCCAGTCTGCATGTTATGTCGTAATTGGGTTTGTCTTTTTATTCTTGTAGCGGGAATCTAAAGCCAAATAAGAAGCTCTTTTCAGATTAGAACCTTCCTAGTATTTTCTGTATTTTTCCTGATTTATCTGACATGAGAATCCCAATATCTGTTATATTACCTTTAATTGTACAAATAAAAGAAGAAGAAACATTAAACAGTGTTTCCTCTATTCATAGTTTAGTCATGTGTGAGGTCTCCAGTGCATATGACCTGTACAATTTACTTGCTGAGGTAAGGCATCAATTTTCCTATGTACATGTTTTTTGCATTAATGGAGACATTGTAGGAGAAGCAAAGATCTCTCTTTTAACTCTCCTATTACCTTCAAATTTACTGACATCTTTTATCCTTGGATTCAATCTGACCCCCGCCACCTCCAGAAAATTATCAGAATTAAAATGGTACCCATGTTTATTTGTAAATTAGCCCTTTAAATAAAACTGAAAAAAATTATGTCACTCACTTATTTAGAGATGTTAAACATTGAAGGGGGTCAAATTGACCCCAAAGATAACAGGAGGGTTAAAATAAGGAGTTTACGAGGACATCCTGCGTGGTGTAACTTTTCTGCAACATGCTCAGTACACTGTGGTGCAGACTCAGCTGTCTTCTGCTCTGTTGGTTGACAGGTGTGCAGTCAGCAATCTTAAAGTCCCTCTCCGGTCATTGATTAACCCCATAAGAACTCATCTCCATGTGTCAAAGTTGCATATTTAGGATGTTTTCCAATAAAATAACCCCTTCCTGCCGTAGAGTGACTTAGATGTAACTCTACAGTCTTTTGCGTTGTTTAGAAAGTGCAGATTTGTAAAATCCCCGCTTCTCTCTCCATCCATCCTTCCACTATGTATTGATTTATTTTTAATGCCCTTCTTGTGCTTTGGCTAAGAGTGAACTTAATGTTACAATAATCTCAGTGCGTTGATGGAGTAAATTACTTCAGACCAAACTATTAACATCAGAAGTGAAGCTCAATTTGCTGACAGACCCAGAGCTCTGACAGTGAATTGTACAAACCTGGAATTTCAGGCCAACTGTCATGGCAATAGCACAGCAGCACATCCCTCCGAGGCCTGCCATCGACAGAGTGCGCCTGCCAGCCTTGTCCACTAATGCAACCTGGAACATACAATGCGCTGTTCATCTCTTTGTTCACAGTGTCTATGAAAAGCAAACTTATTGCTTTCCAACTTCAAATCAAGAAATTCTCAACTTAATTTGACTTTTTTTTTGGCAAGAGTTTCCAGAACACTTTCATGTCAAGGTGAAAACAGATTTCTAAACAGTAATATCAAAATGTAGAATCAGTGATTCAGCGCAGGTGCAGCAACTTGTGAACTAGAAGTCACATGAATTGTGAAATGGAGTGCATCATTTGAGTGCATTACATGGGTGATTGTAGTAGAAAGACACCTGGATAGAACTCCAGTCACTGCTGAATTAGTACACCTGGCTATAAATACACCATGAAGACAAAAGAACACTCCTGGCACTTCTGTGAAAAGGTTATTGAAAATCATAAGTCAGGGGATGGATGCAGGAAAATTTCCAAGTCACAGAGTATCCCTCGGAGTACAGTTAAATTCTTCATTAAAAAATGAAAGGAATATGGCACATGCATAAATCTGCCTAGAGCAGGTCATCCTAAAAGCTGAGCAACTGTGCAAAAAAGAGACGAGTGAGGGAGGCCACCACGAGGACAACCATGAGCCTCTGAAGGAGTTACAGCAGCGGAAATAGGGGAGATTGTTTGCATACAACAACTGCTGCTCGGGTTCTTCACCAGTCAAAGCTTTATGGATGATTTGCTAAAAGAAAGCAACAGCTGACAAAAAAAGTTAATATTAAATCTAAAGTTCACCAGAAGGAATGTGTGAGACTTTGAAGTCAACTAGGAGATAGTTCTTTGGTCTGATAAGACCAAAATTTCAAATGAAGCACGGTGGTGGCAGCATCATGATGTGGGGATGCTCCTTATCAGGAGACCCTGGAAGGTTTGTGAAAGCAGAGGGTAAAATAAATGCAGGAAAGCATAAAGGGGGCAACCTGATGCAGCCTACAAAAGAACTGCAGAGATTTGTTTTCCAGCAAGACAACAACCTGATGCATACAGTCAAGGCTACATAGAGGTGGCTACAAAGCAACAAGATGAATGTTCATGGCCAAGTCAGAGCACAGACCCCAATCCACTTGTTTACTCCATAGACTGCATAAAAGATGGACGTAGCTACCGTGACGTCACCCGTTGGTTTCTGCACTGAGAAAATGAAGCCAGGGTTTTGCTACTTCCTGGTTGACATCTTGGATTTTTGGAGCCAGTGACGCAAAAATTGTCGGAGGGGGGCGGAGCCATAGGAGCAGCGATTGGTCAGACGGATTGAGAAGCGGGCCCTCTCTGCCCGCCCACATTTACCGCCTTCTGCTCGCTTCGTCTGTATTGTCGCTGCCGACTGTCAATCATGCCAGCCACGCCCCTTGCCCCGCTACATGTTGATGATTTTTTAAAAATTCAGTCTTGATTTATTTTCAGATTGACCACCTGATCTCTGGACTTGACCATGAAAACTAATTTTAAAAAAATCCTGAGATGTAGGAATGCAGAATTTCATGATCTGTGATCACTTCTTTTCCAATTCATTTCTATGGGAGCCAGGGCTTTGTGGAGCCAGGACTAGTGGACGTAGTGATACTGCAGTTTTGACACTTCCGGGTTGGCTTCATTTTTCGGGGCCGGTTGCTACGTCCATCTTTTATACAGTCTATGGTTTACTCCAAATTGCAGTGCAACCTGACAGAGCTTAAGCAGGTTTGCAAAAAAGAATACGCTAACATTGTAGTGTCTAGATGTGCAAGTGTGATCATCACCTATCCATATCGGCTCAATACTGTAATTGTGGCCAAAGGTGCATCTATGAAATACTGACTTGGAGGGGGTGAACAGTTATGCAATCATTTATTTCACATTGACATGACAGAGTCTTTTGTTTTGTAAAGCCAAATAATATATTGATCATGTTTCAATACTGAAAAGCAATAAAAAGGGGAAAACATGTAAAGGTGTGTGTATAGAAGACAATGAACAGTACATGTTCCTGGTTTATTGTCTATATGTGTGTGTGCACGCTACTCACAGACACCAGAGTGAAAATTGTGTTGATGACTCCGACTCCGATGGTGGCGTACACCGGCTGACCGACACCAGCTCCAGCGAAGATACTCGTAGAGTAATAAAAGATCTTGGAGACAAAACATTGATTTTCCATAATTACATAGTTAAACAATAAAGAAGCTGTAAAATTGTAAAATCGCAATTGTAAAATGACAGCATGTAGTTTTACAGCTGTACAACATAACAGAGCAAAATGCACTGTGTGTATTTGAATCATATGAGGCAAACACCTTAAGCTTTCTTTAGAAGAAGAAGTTTAAAAACCTAGTTACTGTTAATGTACATATAGAAACACAGACAGAGAAATGATTCCACTCACTGCGTTGATGCCAGAAAACTGTTGGGAGAGGTGCATCATGAGAGCAACAAACAACTGCCGTCTGTACACAGAGGAGGCGATCTTGGAGAGAATACACAACAGTAAAACATTGTCAAATAGCAATATTTTATAAGCATACTGTACATCTAAAACATACATACATTATTGCTTTACTTATGACAAGATGTTGATTATGTGGTTTTTCCTAACATTCCTCGTCTTTCTGTTTTGTTTTAAACAGTTAGAATATGATGAATAGAGTCTAAAGTGTGAGTGCAGCTTCAAACATTATAATATTTGTTTGTTTGCTGCAATGTGTGAGAAAATCATCTTCTGAGACTGTTGAAACTTCTGTGTTTCACATTGGAGACGACTGAAGGGACAAGGCTTCATTTGCAGCCTTTTTACAGTTGACTGTGTCAAAAAGTTTCCTTATCGTTAGTTCAATATTCTTTAAAAATTAACAGTTAATATATCACTTATTTAAGTAGTGATTCAACATTACATTAACCTTTACACGAGATTATCAGCATAATGTAGTTGCTGATTAATTAGGACAAATCAGGAGACGTGTCCGTCCACACTGAGATGGAATGTTAGGCTGTATTTTCCAGCATATTATATTTATTATATCGTCGCATGGTTGCTGTTTCAGACAACTGACTGTTTTGAAAGATGGACAAACCATCAGTAGCATCACCCATAGGTTTCTGAACAGTGTTTATGAAGATCAGTGCGGTGGATGTCACCATCTTGGCGGCAGAAGTAATGAGATTTATGATAGGTGCGCCCATGTGGAAAGCATGAATTAGCTTTAAGTCTGAATACAATTTACACGGGTGAGTTATAGAAAAATTCAACACCTGCACAGTGGTCATGAATGGATAAATTAGATATGAAGACCCAAACAGTGACTTGTACCAGGATGTAAATATGTTATTTTCTGCTATAAAGTTGGACATTTTAACATGGGGGTCTATGGGTAGCGCTTCAGTCACAGACTGTATAAAAGATGGACGTAGCTACCGTGACGTCACCCGTTGGTTTCTGCACTGAGAAAATGAAGCCAGGGTTTTGCTACTTCCTGGTTGACA